TACTGCTGGCGTCCATAAGGCCTGGACCATGACCACTTACGTTGGTTTGTGGGAGCTCCATGCGACGCGCTGTCATGAGGGATTCGTAGATGGCTTTGAGTTTTCGATCGGTCTTCACGTGGAAGAGGCCAGTGCCATCGAATGGCATTTCCTCTATCCTCCTCTTCATTTCCTCAGGAAAGTTACAATTCCTGAGCCACGCATGTTGTCGCAGGAAAAAAGCACTGACCATGGCCCGAGAGTCAGTGTCCACATGATGTCTTGCGGTGGACAACTGCTGTATGGCCACCTGCATCGCCTCTTTTATAAAGACCCTGGCTAGGTCTGCCTGTTGGTCCGGAAGGGAGAAGCCGACGTTATCCAGCTTCTGCATTATGAAGTACTGGTAACGTGCCAGAGTAGCCTCATAATTTGATATGCGCACGCCGAGTCCTGCAGCTGTATAGACCCGACGTGCAATCATATCGACTTTCCTCCCTTCTTTATCTCGGGGAGTTGTATGGCCCCGAGCCTCCCTGCCCTGGGACGATTCAACCACCACAGAGTTGGGCTTAGGGTGGCGCAGCAAGAATGGAATATCTTCCTCTCTGACCCGGTACATAGACTCGTACCAACGAGACATCGCTTGCGGTTGCGCCGGTTGGTCCCAGGGCTGGACCATTGCCTGGCAGAGCGTGGTAATAAGAGACAAGGCAATGGTTGCGGACTGCTCTCCCCGGACAATATTGTAAAGTCGGTCGGTGCTGGGGCAATGGTAGGCCTCTATTTCCAGTGACCGAACCAGACGAGAAACGAGTTCCAAGAAGGAAACATGGGGCTCATCCAGGGATCTGGGGTCTTGGGAAGTGATGCCACATCTGGGGACGTGGAGTCTACTTCCAACTCATCCGAGTCCTGGTGGTAGCGGTAGTGTTCACTAGACGAGGAGGTCTCGGGAGAAGGTGGAGGTCTCCGTTCCATACGGCTGGACATGGATGGCGCCTCTCTCAGGATCGATGGCGAACAACAGTCCTGAGGGTAGTAAGCATAGGGTGGATATCCACTTCAGCCTGGGAAGCCGCCATAGCTGGGCATAGGCCAGTCATCCCCCTGGCGTTCCGATGAGCGGCTCCTACGCCTAGGCAGCAACTGTGTTCCCTCAGGTGGCCCAGCAGTAGGCATCGGAGTCAGAGAACGTTGCCTCGGTGGGGAATCTCTCATTTCTCCATCGGAGATGGACTCCCTAAGCGGTGGCTCCGGTGGGGGAGACACGCTCTCAGGCTGAACCACAGGCCTGGGGGATCCCGGCAGCGTCACCTGCATCACGAATTGCAGGACTGGTCCCAAGAAAGTCGGTACCGTAGCGGCGGTCGGTACAGAGAACCCCGACGAACCCGAGCCCCGATATTTGGGGTGGTCGAGTTTCTTGCCCTTATGGGCTGCCATAGCCGCCTTATCTTTCCTCGGCTTCTTGTACCCGGAGGATTTATCCGGTTCTGAATGTTTACACTTCTCCTTTTGTTTAGCTGGAGGAGAAGGTTGCTGTTGCGCTTCCGTCAAAGCAGTGCCTTCGTCCAAAGGACGCTGCAGTGGCGCAGCTGATGTTGAGGCGGGGCGCTTAGAGGGCGCAGCTGAAGCAGAGGCAGAGCACTGCAGTGGTACAGCCGAGGAAGGGGTAGGCCTTGGGACCAACTGGTCTGATTGGAGCAAGGCCTGATCCCAAAGCAACTTACGGAGACGATTCTCTCTATTCTTCCTGGCCTGTTTAGTAAAGGCCAGGCAATGCCCGCACTTGTCGGTCCTATGCCCCTCGCCGAGGCAGAGGAGGCATAAGTCATGCGGGTCGGCGGGAGACATTTTGGAGCCGCATTCACTGCACTTGCGGAATGCCGCCCACTGTGCCATCGTGAAAAAGAAGAAAGAGATGATAGTACAGAGTATAAGAATAATATTTTTGGGGGGTTTTTTTAGAGAAATAGAAGAAAAAACTACCACAAGGAAGAGAAGAAAGAACTGGGAATATAACGAGGAACGAAGTAAGTAGAACAAGGTATAACCGTTAGGAGCACAAGGCGAAAATCTAAGCGAGAGACAAACAGGCACGAGGCACAGCGAACAGCGGTCACAAAGACTGAGTAAAATGGCGGACGCTCCGCTCTATTTATACTGTGGGGGGAGGGGAGAGGAGCTTTTTCTCGCCAAAAACTGTTAGCTTTCTGATCTTCCGGGCTAGGCACTGCGCAGGCGCAGCACCCATATGTGTGATGCACAGAGGCCACAACGAAGAACACCTTGCGACCGTGAGGGGGAAGGGGGAAGCACTCATTCATTCCATGCTGGGATACCCGCAGGAGGGCTGGGGGGAGGCGACAAGCATCTGCCAGGTTCACTGTGGGTTATTCTAAGGTGGCTTATTGCCAGGGTGGGTTAGCATGACATGTGAATGTCCATTGCCAGATACACATAACAATTGGATATAATATATTGGGTATAATAATCTCCAATATGGCATACTCTGGTGAGAAGAACGGGGGAGCAGGTGTGTGCTTCTTTCAGGAACCTTCTTTCTAGCCCTAGTAAGCCTTACTGTGGTACTTGCTCGCAGTCAGCATGGGTTGCCTCTCCCAGTCACTGTTTTGTTGAGATGCTGGGAGGCAGTCTTTGATTTGTCATGGTCTGACTTTGTAGCTTCTTGGAACACATTTGGTCCATTGGTAGCTTTTTAAATTTTTGCATAGATCATCTTAGGTGTCTGTTGATATCCTCACATTTTTACATTAGAAGGCTTAGGTTTTTCACTTTCATGTTTTTATTTGTAAATTTTGACACAATGCACAAATTGTGTCTGCATTTGTTACACCGGCTTATTTTTCGTGTTTATTTTTAATGCCCACCCTTTCTAATTTTAAATGTCCCTTAACTTTGACTTTTCTTCACTGTATATGTTGTGGAGGAGCATTTTGCCCTGTTGTTATTGTGGTTGGGAATGAATGCCGTCGCTTTACCATTAACATTGCTGTGACATTGGAGGAACACATTCTTTGGGATGATGGAGTGATGTGGTTCGGTTAGTATATCCAGTCCTAACTAAGCATGTATGTGCTGGTGCAGAAAGCCTTAAGATGAGGCCATATATCTTAATTTTCAGAAGTGTCATTATGCCCTGATACTATAACCACTTCTGCTTTCATGACACTTAAAGCACTGCTGAGCCTCTCTGGGGCCTGTTTGTGGAAATGTGTGAACATTGTTTGTACAAAACAAAATGCAGAAAAGTTTATATTGAATCTACATCCCAGGCAGTGTACATCTGACATGTTAAGTATAATCGTGGAGCATGCAAAGTACAGGTTTATGTGTTTGCACTTAAGTGTGCCTTGTGGGATTGTGCTAATAAAAAGCAGTGCTATGACACACCCTATTCTAAAGATGTTTTTGTTGACATTGCCAGTTTCTTCCAAACTTAAGTACTGAGGACTGTTACATCTAATTAAAAGTGATTTGGCTAGGTGAAACATAATTTTAAATAGTCATTATAAATGTTACAATCTTGATCCAACACAACACTCATGCTTTCCATTTTTAGCATTCAGGAGAGCGTCATCTCTAGGGTGGTAGGAAAACATAAATAAATAAATAGATAGATAGATAGATAGATAGATAGTGAAAGGGTGATATGGGAATCGGTGAGTCTGCCAGGTAAGCACAATGACCAGCAATATTTATTCGAGAGCGAAAATACTCGAATAAAGGCAAAGTAGCAGTGCAGTCTGACAATCGGATTGACTAAAGAAAGCTTGCAGGCATGAAACTTCCAGAGCCCATCCCCCCATCTGCCAAAGCTAAGCACAGATGGGGCGTTCCCTCTGGCGTGAGAAACACCCACCTTGTTGCTTTCAGGCGGGTGCCACGGATAGTGACCCATCAAAGGCACAGCCCCTGGGCTGATATTCATGCCACCGGCTTATTTTTCGTGTTTATTTTTAAGAGGATGCGAAGGAGCGCTTGGCTGTGGGATCTGGTACGATAGGAGGTCCGGGGGCGGGCAGGGAGAAAGGAGGAAGGAAATCAAACAATATGCATAGCGGAGGGGGGCTGTATGCGTACTGGCCGGAGCGAAATGAAACGAAATGAAATGAAATGAAATAAACCGGTGCGCCCGGTTCTCAGGAGCGAGTGGTACGAAAGCGCCACCTACAGCTGCCGGATGTCAGCCGAGCCGATACCCTGAGGACGCGATTCCATGAGCTCACCCAGCGTGACACCGGGCGATGTGGGAATTATCTCACCAGCTTCACCTCCGCTATCTCGCAGATTCTGGTAAATAATCGTGATGGCGGCGGCAGCGGCGGCGATGATGATGATGCCTTTTATATATAGGAAGCCGCGAGAGTAAAATCATTAATCCAGCTTATCGCTAATGGCCCATACGAGCCGTGCTCTCGCTCCTCCCTCTCCCCTTCCCCTCGCTGCCCCGAATATGAAGATTACGCTCCGAGCCCAGCCCCCTTCCCATTTCCACTTCGCGCCCCCCCTTCCCAGAGCCGCCGCGAGGGGGGCGTGTTCGCGTCCATGTGGGGGGAACTTAATAAAGGCGGGGAGGAGGAGCCAAGGGGAGGAGTTCGGGCCTCGCCATTGGCTGGCTGGAGGAGTGATGTCACCCATATGAAACCCTGATAACTAGTTGGGAGAGAACCCGCAACTTTTGCAGAAGGGGGAGTGTGATCCAGCGACATCTCTGGGTCCGGGCGGCTGCTGCTGCTGCTGCTGCTGCTGCAGGGGGAGGGGAAAGAGCCGGAGCGAGTCTCGCTGGAGGAAGGAGCCAGCAGCGTGCGAGGAAGCTGGAGGGAAGGGGAGGGAAGGCGCCTGCGACCTGCACCGCGCGCTTCACCTTGCGACCGCGCGCTTGAGGCGTGCAAGCGGCCGGTGGGAGCGAAGCGACGCGCGCACGCCCGCGCGCTCCGAGAAAGAAGCACGCGCAAGGCTCCCGGGGAACTCAAGAGAAGCCACACGCCTCCACCATGGTCCAGCAAGCGGAGAGTCCGGACACGGAGAGCAACCTGCCCAGAGAAGCGATGGATACCGAGGAAGGGGAGTTCATGGCTTGCAGCCCCGTGGCGCTGGACGAGAGCGATCCGGACTGGTGCAAAACGGCCTCGGGGCATATCAAGAGACCCATGAACGCGTTCATGGTGTGGTCGAAGATCGAGCGGAGAAAAATCATGGAGCAGTCTCCGGACATGCACAACGCCGAGATCTCCAAGCGCCTCGGCAAGCGGTGGAAAATGCTCAAGGACAGCGAGAAGATCCCTTTCATCCGGGAGGCGGAGAGGCTGCGCCTCAAACACATGGCCGATTACCCCGATTACAAATATCGGCCGAGGAAAAAGCCCAAAATAGACCCCTCCGCCAAGCCCAGTGCCAACCACAGCCCGGAGAAAAACACACCCACCGGCGGCGGCGGCGGCGGCACGGGCAGCGGCAAGAGCGCGAAAAGCTCCAGCAAGAAATGCAGCAAGGGGAAGTCGCCTTCCTCCTCCTCTTCCTCCTCCTCTCCCCCCAAGGCTGGGACGAAGGTGGCCCCTCACCCGGGGGACTACGGCGGGGAGGACTACCACCCGTTCGGGCCGCTGAAAATGAGCAGCAAGGCGGTCAAGTGCGTCTTCGTGGACGACGACGACGACGACGAGGAGGACGAGGACGACCTGCCGCTGCGGATCAAGCCGGAGGACGAGGAGGACGACGAGGACGAGGAGCAGCAGCAGCAGCAGCACCAGCAGCAGCAGCAGCAGCAGCTGCGGCGGTACAACGTCGCCAAAGTCCCGGCCAGCCCCACCTTGAGCTCCTCGGCCGAGTCCACCGAGGGGGCCAGCCTGTACGAGGAGGTGCGGGGCGGCGGGGCGGCGCACGGCGCCCCCGCCGGCCGGCTCTACTACGGCTTCAAGAGCATGCCCAAGAGCGCGCCGCAGCCCAGCCTGTCCCCGGCTTCCTCCAGGTCCATCTCCACCTCCTCCTCCTCCTCCTCCTCCTCCTCCTCCTCCTCCTCCTCCTCTTCCAGCAGCAGCAGCAGCAGCGAAGAGGCGGACGACCTGATGTTCGATCTGAGCTTGAATTTCTCCCAGCACACCCACGCCGCCTCGGAGCTGGGCGGGAGCTCCGCTTCAGGGAACCTGTCTCTCTCCCTCGTGGATAAGGATTTGGATTCGTTCAGCGAGGGCAGCCTGGGCTCGCACTTCGAGTTCCCCGATTACTGCACCCCGGAGCTGAGCGAGATGATCGCGGGCGACTGGCTGGAGGCGAACTTTTCCGACTTGGTCTTCACTTACTGAGGAAGCGAGAGGGGGAGAGAGAGAGCCGAGGGGAACGCGGCGCGAAGGCGAGCAGCGAGAGAGGGCGAGAGATCGATCAAAAGGACTGTACGAAAAAAGAAGAAAAAAATCGGTAAAGGAAAGATTATGCTAGTGCTATACGCTTAAAAATGGTGGAGTTTTGAAGTGAAGTCATGATCAACATGTCTTTGGGTTTTTCTTTTCTTTCTTTTTAAAGTCTTGAAGTTAGTTCCAAACCGAGTCCGGAGTTGTGATTTCCCCCCCACCTCCTGATTTTGCATTTCTTTTCTCCTTTTCCCCCATTTTTTTTTTTTTTTAATTGGTGATCACAACAGCAGCAGCAAGGAGAAAAGGCAAATGGGACTGGGGGTTAAAAGATGCAGAAGGCGCTGTTTGAAGCTTGTCGGTCTTGTGATTGAAGTCTGGAAGATGGTCTGCAAAAAAAAAAAGTCTTTTGGCAGCACAACTGTAACTCAAGGGGGTTTGTGGAATTTTTTTTTCTCCTGCAAAGATTTTAAAGGACTGTTTTGATTTTGTATTTTTTCTTTTCTCTCTCTCTCTGTTCTTTCTTTCCTTTTTCTTTCCTTTTTGTGTAAAAGGGACCATTGCAACTGTTTTGTTTGTTTGGAGGGAGAAAACTGATGTCTTCTATGCATCCGATTCTTAACAAAGCTGCAGGGAGCTTGAAAAAAAATGCAGACTGTACAAACGCTTACAAAAAAACAAAAACTGTGAACTGACTTAAGATCAGAGTTTACGTTTCAGATCAAATTGTTTATGGTTTTACAAATGTGATTTCTACTTGCCAACTTTTTTTTTGTAACTTGTTCCCTTATACCTCCTTGATTGAATACCAGACAGCCTAGACCTCAGTACACAAAGGTATTGAAACATTTTTGATACATAACAGACCTCAGTCTTTTTTAAAAATTAATATATTTTCAGGCGTATTTTTGTACAGTGAAAGGGAACATTCTTGCTGTGTTTTTTCAGTAAGACTTTTCAGGCACTTCTTCCCTTTTATTTTTTATTTTTATTGTTTTTCCTCTGTTTTTAGCATGCAAGTAATATGGGTACGTTTATGTCCTGGTTTTAAAAGGATTAAAAAAAATCCTTGCATCTAAAGGCCTTGTGGTTTAAAAAGAAAAAAAGAAACAAAACACTTTTTTGTACAGCTATAGTTCAGATTTGTTCAATATTTGTAGGTAAAGATTTATTGAAAATGGTGATATAGACCTCAGAGCTGTTATCTTAGTTTAAAAGATTGTATATGTACTGTACTATAGTAGGAATTTATGTATCTCATACGCTGTGATATGTGGATGGGGGGCCCAGATGGAAGGTATGAAACTGGATTCTCGACTCTTTTTTTTTTTAGCAAAAAAAGATTGAAATGGGAAAAAGAAAGGCACATAGTAAAAGAAAAAAGTTTCTCATTTTGTGCAATATAATTCTTAAAAGTACAGACCATCTGCGTATTTTGTAGCAAACGATGGCAAAAAACAGACTTGTGCACTGTCAACATCATTACCTGTTTTTTTTTTAATGCTGAAGTCTGTATCTTGACAATTTTAATAAATCAGCTGGAACTGATAGAAACTCGATTCGCTATTAGTGTCTATAGAAGTAGCGCTGGTGGATATGCCATGTATCCAGACCCTCCCTCGCTCATGGAGGAGCGTTAGCTGAGACTTCATGGAGGGCGGGGAGGGGAAGAAGGGGGGCTGATGGTAGGATAGACTTTAAAGGGCTGCTTCTCTTTTATACCTCTTCCCTTTCTTTCCCCTGTTCCGATGCGTGCCCCCATCAGTCACCCCCCTCCCCTTCAGGTTACTTGGCCGCGCGGTGTGTGCGGGGGGAGACGCGGGAAGGACGGCTGATCCTGGCGAAGGCTGTGATGGGGGAATGGCGGGCGAGCGGGCTCGGATGCGGTGCGCGTCTCGGGGCGGGGTGCGCGCCTTCCCTCCGAGAGGCAGGTAGCGAGCGAGGATGCTGGCGCTCGTAACGGAGAGGGGGCGAGCGAGCGGGAGAGGCTTCGTGGTGGCGGTGCTGGCGGCGGGGCGCGCGGGGGGGTCACCTTCAGCCGGGCTCCGCGGGCGCGCGCGTGTGGCCGAGGCGAGGCGAGGCGTTCCGCACGGGCTTTGGTCCTTTGGCTTCGCGGCTCTTCTCTCACCCTGGCCCCGAGAAGCCTCCCCGGTGGTGCTCGCCCCCTTTCCCTGCCTCGCCATCTTTGGGGTGCCTTTCCCTCCCTCCCCCTCCCCCCTCCTTCTGTGCGTGGGGGTGGGGATATTTTGCGCTCTCCTTGGCGGCGGGGGGGGGGGGGGCGGAGGAGGGAAGGTGTCTCTTGCTTCGCTCGCCGCCAGACGCGCTCTCGGGCGAAGGGGGTGTGTCCTGGCCGTGTGTGGCTGGCGCTGAGTGCGCTCGGAATGCCGCCGCCGCCGCGGCCTCGGGGCGCGCGGTTGAAGAGGGAGGGGAGGCGGCGGGGTGGGCGAGCGGGGGCCGTGCAGCCTCTTTCCAGCACCCCCCCCCCCGTGTTCGCGAGCAAGCGCGCCGTTTGGAAAAGTGGCTCGGGCGCCGAGAGGCCGAGCGAAGCAAGTGAAGTGCGTGCGGGTTTCAGTGCTCTTTCTTGGAAAGGCGCGCGCCCGGCTCCTTCCGTTCTGTCCGCACACCCACTCGGCAGCCGCAGCCGCAGCCGCAGCGGCAGGAATAGCCGCCGGCTTAGTTCATCGCCAGGGCTCTCCGCTCTCCTCTTCGCAAAGAGAGAGAGACGGTCAGAGCGCGGGTCACGGGGAGGCGCGCCGGGCGGGGAGCGCGCGCCGAAGGTGGCGGCCGGTGCGCGCACGGGCCTGTGTGGCAAAGAGGATTGATTCTAGGCTCGGAGCGGGAGCATCCGCTTCCCTTCCCCCTTCCCCTCCGTCTAAGTGTGAAGGGAGGTACCTTCTTTCCTCAGCGGGAGGACGACTGCTGATGGCTTTTCTCATTTTTCATGTAGGCAGCTCGCCTCTCCCCACCTCCCCCGCTCAGCTCCATTTCAAGAGCCTTTCAGCTGGTTATCGTGAAGGAGCCCGGTGCGTCCGTGTGCGTGTGCGCGAGCGTGAGAGAGGCAATTCGGGTGCAATCCTTTGCTTTGCTTCGAGTGTGGCTCCCCTCCCTCTCCCCTTTATATTTTACTCTATTTTATTCTATTCTGTAAATTGGGCACTACTGGCAATCACTTCTTAAGCACAGTTGTTTCTTTACGGTGGCTCTGCTTCTCCCTTTATTGGCCTGGGCAGAACCTCTCTGTAGTTGTAAAAGATGCTCTGGAGAGAGGAGGTTTGCATCTCCATTGCCTTAAAACACTATTGCTTAATCAGAGCCAGAGCAGCAGGGAGTCGCTTTACCAATGAGACATGCTCTACTTTCCTTTTCTTTACAGAGACCTACGGCCATAAATGGGCCACAGGCAGGGGGCCTGAGCTTCTGCCGCAGATGCTCTCAAATAAATACATATACCCAGAAATGAATTACCATTTAAAAAAAAAGAATGAAATAAACGTTTCACTCTCACACTTGGCAGTTGGGGAACAGATGTGATTTCTGGGTGGCTGCAACCCTATATCCACTTACTTGAACTCAATGGGACTTAGTTCTGAGTAGACATGTATTAGATTGCACGGTTAACCACAAGTATTACTTGTGGCACACTCTGCCAGGCCAGCCATTTGTTTTTAGTTTACTAATTAATCACTTCCATAACTAGCATGATGGAGAACAAACTACCATCCAGTCAACCTCAACCATGATTACTCAGAAGTAAGTCCAGCCATGTTCCATCGAACATAGTACCCAGTAAGTGTGCTTATACTTACCTGAAAGTACACCCTGCTCATATTAAAACTTTTGTATAAATGTAGTTAGGAATGGTCTGTTGGTGATTTACAAGGGTAATTGGGAGCCACTGCTTCAAGCTTTCAGGCTGGCTAAAGATGAAATGCCCTACATGGACATTCTCTCTCTGTCTCAATTTTTTCATCAAAATGAACATATTACATTTGAGTGGCAAGAAATTACTTTTTCAATTAGTTGATTAAATGTAGCTAAATGCTTAAATTAAAATTGTTTTGTTCGAGACCTATTCATAATTCTATTTAAAACTTGGTTCACAGCTTTGTAGTATTGCAAGATTATGACATACCTCAGAATTTCAGTTTGTGTCTTGCATTGTGTTAAACCTTTAAGAGAAACTGTTTTAGGACAAGGCCTCATATAATATACACGAGGTACACTATGGTTGGCTATTGAGCATCTTCAATAAAAGCAGAAATTCTTGAATTTTAAGGTTTTGTCTCTTAAATTATTAGTGTGGAATGATTTAACATTATGGTTCTAAGACATGGACATATTTGATGGCCAAAGAGGCAGAGAGAGTACTTTGCCCTGCTATTTTCAGGGCAGTCCTAAACATTTTGCTGAACAGGGTACCTCACAAATTACAACAGGCCTTAGCCTAGTAAGCGGGTCTGGGATTGCAGCCTTAGTCATTGGCAACACATCCTGTCTGTGTCTACTCAGAAATGTCCTACTGAATTCAGTGAAGTTTACTTTCAGGTAAGTGGGCGTAGGACTGCAGCTTAGTTCTCCTGTAGATGAAACTGCCAAGTTCATGGATTGGGAATGTTCAAAGGCCAGTCTTCATTAAACCCAAACTGAGCCAAAATGTTCTCATTCTTTGACATACCATATGTGCATTGGTAGAGATGGTCTGCTAGTCCTTCTATTTTACATGCAGCCTTATTTCTAGAAAAGTTAGTGGAACTGAACATGTGTATTGCAGATGTTTGGTAAACTATGTAGTGATTGCATTAAAACTAGGGTGGCCTGGACTGATGGGAGGAACTATATTTCAGCCCTCTCCCTCATCCTGTGTGTATGTTTGTGTAATTCATCTAGATATGGAATATTCAGATTGAACAATAAAGCTAATTTTGTTGGGGGGAGGGTTGGAAGTTATTTTTCCAAAAGTGAGTCTGAAATTGGTCTTGTATTGCTTTGAGGAATGGACTACACCATACTACGTAAGAGTTGAGTAAATGTGCAATATACAAGGAAGGGGAGCTTACATTTTGCTGAGTTTTTCCAGATGATGGGTGGCTTTCACTGCATTTGGAAGGAATGACAGTCATTCATTCCATAAATTGCTTCTATGGTTTTCTCCTGTTGAAATTCAAAATTCCCACAGATAGTGGGGCAGGAAGCAATTCACTGCTTTCTCGTTGCAAGACTACAGTCCTAAACACATTTACTGGGGAGTAACACTCATCAACGCATAGGACTTATTTCTGAGTAACTTGCTAAAAATTGTATGGTATGTTCAGTATCATAGTAACATGCATGTTACTCCTCCTTCCTTGTAAATGTACATGTGAATTTTTGTGGACTACTTTCCTGTAAAATAGATTTACTCCAGCACAGGAACACCTTGGCTGTTGCGTTGGTGTCGTCTTACAGCTCTTCAGCACTTTTCTCCTCTGTGGATGAGGAGATGCAGTGTTAAAGGGCATAAAGCAAAATGTTTGATGATTGTCAGCTTTTAAATATATGAAAATACCCTGGTCTTTATAGGACAACATTTCAAAAAGCAACCTAAGGTTTTTTGAGACACTTTTTGGAAGGTGAAATCCAGTTTGTATCTTTCCTTCTGGCTACTCCCTCTCTAATGTTAGAAGATCTAATTCACAAAAAATGTTTAATTCTTTAAGGGCAATATATATGACAGAATAAATAGAAAGATTGATTAAAATGTCTTTTAAAATTGTATTTACTCTAAATATAGATGTCAATACATGCAAAAGGTAACTTTTTCCTAGTGTAGTGTCTACAGAAAGTGATTTGAACACATGAGGCCTTAATGGCCATTCATGCCAATGTAAATTGCTTATAAAACTATAGTTACACCAATCTCTATTGAATGTGAAGTCAGAAATGGACGCTACTGACTTATTTCAGTCTTTAGTCGTCTATTCGACAGAACTCTCTTTGTTCTATATCTCCACCTTTGTCACACATCCCAATTCTATGGCCTGGTAAGATCCCTCATCCTGCACTTCCTAGAAAACTTTGAGTCTGATTTGTATTTTTCAAAACTTATAAAAATGTTGGGCCTTGATTCTCTAATAGGTTGAAAGCTTACTTCTTTTTCACAGCCTCACCCCACAGTATTAAGTAGTTAGAAGAGCTAGGGAGAAATTCTTCACTCTCAATAATCTACCTTTGTAATTCACCAAACTTTTGGCTCCTAGTCTCTTTAGCTCCCACCCCTGCATAGCAAGTTGTGGGGATTTCTTTCCCTCCTCCACACACTACCTATAGCAATTAACTGCCTATTAATTTTTACCCTCCCTTCATGGATGCAGTGGATTTTTAAGAGAATTTCACAAGCAAGTAGTTTTTTAGTGAGTTTAAAAGTAAACAGAGTTTTAAAAGCCTATTTTTATATTCAGTATAAAGCACAAATGTGCAGAAAGTGTAGAATGACTTACAAAAAGGGAAGTAAAAGTCCATATATTTCATGTGTAAAAGTAATCTTTAATTGGGT